TATTGCTCCGGCCTTTAGCCTACCATGGAGTCTCTTTTACCTCTTGTTATTTATAGTGTGCATTGAGGACATTGCACAATTATAAGTATGGGATGAGGATATTGTTTGGGTAAGTTTCTGTGCTATTTTAGCTTAGTTGTAATACTCGTTCTTAGTGTAGAGTTTTTGTTAAAATCGAAAAAAAAACAGAAAAATTGGACTTTTTCGACGATGGATCTCCTAGACAGTTTTCTTGAAGGATTTAAGTCTAAAGAAAAAGGAAAAAAAGATTTTCTTTGTAGGTAGTGTAGTAATTCCCCCTTGGTTTTTCTTTGTGTCGCGATTCTTTTCCAAGGGTTTCTCTTGAACCGGGTGTAGTTAGTTTTAACTTTTTAGGAATAGGAGCCATTGTGGTATGAATTGAATTGAAACAATCTCTTGACTTTTTTATACCTTGAGAATAGTGAGTATTTTGGTTGTGATGCTTAGGCTCAGTTTTTGACTCTTGCATAAGTACCTTAAATCGTATGATCTTAACTTTGCTTAACTGCTTTGACTAGACTATTTTGATGAGTCCAATCCTGAGTGAGTTATGTGCCATGTGTGTGAGAGATTTTTGTGTATTCTGTGCATTACATTTGAGTCTAGAACTTGCCCCGTGTGTTTGCAAAGCGAAATAGTAGTTTTATTCAGTCTTGGAAGTCATATAAGCGTTTCTTTGTTGAGCCAAATATATATCGTCACACCTCTTTTTTTGTCACGACCCCGGTTCACCCTCCGTGAATTATCGTGAGTCACCTAGTTTCTACGACTAGGTAAGCCTAAAATACGGAAGATAAACCAATTTGCGAAAAAAACAATTTAAAATAGAAATAGTGTGATATAACAACGTTTAAAAGTGTTGCTCGGCATACACAATATAAATCCTCAAAACTAATACATTTTCCCAAAACTCGGAAACCCATAAATCACAAGCTAAGGATACTACATAATGCTCTAACTCCGGAATAGTCTAAAACAAGGTAAATACAGAAGGGTTGTAACTACAAGAGAGAATGGAGAGAGACTCTTCGGTCTGCGGACGCGGCAGATATACCTCAAAGTTTCTGAAGGGTCGCATCGCTTCAAGGATGGTAAGATTGAGTCAAGGTACCTGGATCTGCACATGAAAAACATGCACAGAAAGGGCATGAGTACACCACAGTGGTACTTAGTAAGTGCCAAGCCTAACCTCGGTCGGGTAACGAGGAAGGTCAGGTCCCTACTGAGGTTAAATAAAATATAAAGTTCAACAGTGTAGAACAGAACGGTATAAATAAGTACAACAATAAAAGTAACACAAGATATAAAGGGCAACAACAATTATTACAGAGACAAGGTAAACACAGAAAGAAATACGGTTCAACACCAAAATAATAATCGGAGATCTCCCAGGATACCGTCCTGTAGTTCCAAATATACATATCCAATGGATCTCCTAGGATCCCGTCCCATAGTCCAACTCATAGTGCGCAGGGATCTATCGGAATCCTGTTGCGTAGTCACAAATGTAAATACCCAGTACTAGGGGAATCTACCAGGTGCATTCCCGTAGTTCCATATAACTGTGTAGGAGGATCTACCGGAATCCCATATCCGTAGTCCCAAAATAAACAGACAAGGGGGAGCTACCGGAATCCCATATCCGTAGTCCCAAAATAAACAGACAAGGGGGAGCTACCGGAATCCCATATCCATAGTCCCAATGTAAATACACAACAGCAATAGGAAAATATTCAGAAATGGCAAATTTCATATTAAGGCAAACAAGTAATTCTAGCCTAGCATGCTGCATAGAATTCAGGTAAGGCAGTTTGAGCAAGTAAAGCAATTAAGTCACTTAGACATGTTTTCCTAAGCTAACAACATGCTTAATAGTGCAGGTAATAAAAACAGGAAAGAAAACATACTAGTAATTACTTAATGAAAATCGAATTTCCAATAATTAGTACAAGTACACACTCGTCACCTCACGTACAAGGCATTTCAATTACCAAATATACCAAATCCTAAAGGGAAGGTCCCCCACACAAGGTTAGGCAAGCCACTTACCTCGAACCAGCTCAAAATCAACTCGAAATCACGTTCTTGCCACGAGTATTCGACTCCAAATGGCCCAAATCTATTCAACTCAATTGCATAATGTAAATAACACTTCAAGTAACTGATTCTACAATTAAATTCTAAGATAATACGCAAAATTTGGTAAAATGACCAAAACACCCCTCGGGCCCACGTCTTGGAATCGGGTAAAATTTATATTTTCAGAATCCTCACACTCTCACGAGTTCATGCATACCAAAATTATCCAAATCTAAGGTCAAATTCCCAATCAAAAGTCGAATTCTAGGTCTAAAAACTTTCTTCCAACTTTTTCCCACTTTTTCACCTCCAATCCGAAATTAAATGATGAAACTAACTATAGATTGATGCCATATAACTAGAAAGGGTTAAAGAATTGTTACACAATGACCTCCTCTTCAATTTCCTCTCAAAATCACCCTCTCTCGAGCTCCAAATCGAATTTCTAACTTTTGAAACTAAACCCTCGAAATTTCATATTTCTGCCCAGCTATTACCACATTTGCGGTCAAGGGACCACATCTGCGGTTCCGCTTTTGCGGAATAATGGCCGCACCTGCGACCTTTCACTTAAGACCAGCTTCCGCATTTGCGACTCCCCATCGGCAGATGCGGTACCGCTTCTGCTGAACCTCCCTATTTCCACTTCTGCGACCACAGAGCCGCTTCTGCGGCGCCGCACCTGCGGTCCTACACTCGCAGGTGTGGTTATGACAGAAAAACTAGCAACTGAAGCTATAACTCCAAACTCCAAAATCCTTCCGTCAATCATCCGAAATCATCCCGAGGACCCCGGGACGTCAACCAAAAGCACCAACAAGTCTAATACCACTGTTCAAACTTATACCAATCCTTAAAACACCTAAAACAACATCGAAACGACGAATCAACCACAGATTCAAGCCTAAGAACTCCAAAACTCTAGAAATACGTTTTCGATCAAAAAGTCTATCAATCCTCGTCCGAATGACCTGAAATTTTGCATACACGTCACATTCAACTCTACGGAGCTACTCCAACTTCCGGAATTCTATTACGACCCTCATATCAGAATCTCACTATCGGACCGGAAACTTCAAAAGTTGACCTTTCGGCATTTCAAGCCTAAATTAGCTACGGACCTCCAAAACACAATCCGAACATGCCCCTAAGCCCGAAATCACCCAACGAAGCTAACAGAACCATCGGATTTCCATTATGAGGTCGTCTTCATACTGCTCCGACTACGGTCAAATTTCCAATATTTAAGCTCTCATTTAGGGACTAAGTGTCCTAAAACTCTCCGAAACTCAAAACCAAACATCCCGGCAAATCAAAATAGCAGAAATAAACATGGAGAAAGCAGTTAATATGAGATGAGGGCGTAAATTCTTAAGACGACCGGCCAGGTCGTCACATTTTTACCTGAAAGGGGTATATAGGGGAGTTTTTTCAATTAAAGTGACAATAATCGAAACGAGATTTTTTTTATCAAAAGAAAATATATTTTCATCAAAAGAATGTATAATAAAAATATATTTTGTCATGTCTAAACTTCTTGTTATTGTGTTATTCGAAAGTTGTCATACATATCATAAAAAGCTGGTCATGCTCCTTTACCTAGGATTTAATTAATTTAGAGCAAATGGTCCACATAATGGGCATATTCACCTTTCAAATGATGCACATATACGTGATAAGGTGTCACTTAGGGTTAAAAACCCCACTTGGACATTTAGGTAAGGTTAACTAATGGATTTAATACACCTCGGGTATTAAATCACCTAAGGATAAAAATGATGGATGCTCTTAAAAGGGTTTTGGTTTAGCTCTATCTTAGGTTGACTAAGAGTGGATTTTTCTAGATTGGTCTTCTCCCAAGCGGATAACTTGAGAGTGGAAAGCTCGTGACTGTCGACTGCACCGCTGATCGACTTACCCACGAACTTTCCCCTAAAAGGTATTTTTGAAAAGTGCACGGCCGCAAACCACGTAACCGCTAGGTGTGTGCTTTGTGTGAATTTTCCAGGAGTGGATGAAGTGAAACGGAATGACAATTTATATAAGGCAATAAGAATAAATAATTCATATAATAACCAATTTATTCAATAAGAATAAACAATTCATATAAATAAACAATTACAAACACACAAATCAATTTTTATTAACCTAAGTTTGTTATGGTTTAGAATCTAGAATCCCTAGCAGAGTCGCCAAGTTGTTATACCCCATTTTAACACGGGTCAAATTAGAGTATAACATATTGGTAAATCTGAGGTTTAATTAATTAAGAGAGTCGCCACCTAATTATTTTAGAGGTGAATTAGGACACTTATATACTAAATAATGGTTAAAGTTAACTCTATTTTTACGATATGCTTAACCTTAAGATTAGAGGTAAGGGTTCTAATTAATCCTATAGGGAAGGTTATAAAAGCACCATATGTGATCCGTTAATTACGAGTAACCGGCCAAACTTACGTTAAATAATAGCTTTAAAAAAATGTGAGACCAAATATAAAATAACTAATGTGAAGTGGTTAAAATCTTTTATAATGATTGAAAAAAAAGTGCCCGGCAAAAGCTAGATGCGAAGTAATTTTTGAAATGGTTTAAAGAGTAATTCAAAACCAAACTTAAGATTAAAATATAGGAATAAAATCAAGCGAAAATCCATTGCCAAACTCTGATTTGTTGCAAGTTTGAAACCAATTTGGATTTGGATTTTGTTGGAATACGCAGCGATTTGTAAAACTCCTTTTAAAGGACTTAAGCAAAGAAAAATCAATTTTGGTTATAATGGAAATATCAAAGGCTGATTTTCCTTAAGGATGTTTAACAAATCACCTAACTAGCTTCTAGAATAAAACTCCAATTAGTAACTGATTTTAAGTCTTCATATCTAGATGCATTATTCTATGTGATGAAAAAAAGGTTTATTAATAATAAGACCAGGATCCTGGATGATTAAATAGACTTCACTGTTAATCTTATGCTAAGTGTAAGACAAATCCCAAACACACAAATAAATAAACCATAAAAAGAAGATAGATAAAATGAATGATAACACAAAAAAAAGAACGCTTTCGCTTGTTTTTTCCCTATCCGGTGCATTTATAGGAATATGCGATATGATGACTCCATGCTCGGGTAGTGCTGAGTCTCGAGTGAGACTCCATTTTTTGCTCCACGTATATATGCAAAAGGAAAGAAGAAGAAAAGAGAATTAGAGAAAAACTTAATTTTTATTATATGTGACGATAAAACATACAAGTCAAGAATGACAATTATCTCCTCAAATCTGAAATATTCCACGAAATAGAACGAAACAAACAGTAGTATGCTACATATAAGCAATTCCATTTTAAAATAGCGCTCTAAGTGCCTTTTTGAAGTTTTTCCCTTTTAGATCAACCTAACAAACAAAGTGGGATTTACACTTCTTTAAGCCATTAACAACACTTAAACTTAATTCTTAAAGGTATAAGAGATTACGACAGCAAAAAATTACAAGGTTATTTAATAAACACATGCTAACGGGTTTCATCTACATCATAATTAGACAATCATACTACATGTAATAAAGACAACATCAATGCTACGAATAGGAGGACACACACGTGGATCAACAACAACAACAACAACCCAATATAATCTCACTTAGTGGGGTCTGGGGAGGGTAGTGTGTACTCAAACCTTACCCCTATCCTGGAGTAGAGAGGCTATTTCCTAATAGACCCCCGACATCTTTCCATCCAAGAACTTCTCACCTTGCTCTTGGGGAGACTCGAACTCACAACCTCTTGATTGGAAGTGGAGGTTGCTTACATGGATCAGTTATGAGAAACAGTGAAGAGCTTCTTGTATTTTACAAACAAGCACACCACATAAGCATGAGTTTTTAATTAAGGATCTTAACAAACAAACTATAAAAGATCCATGAAGGCTTCACAAGTTGGTGTTTCAGGTACAAACATGAAAGGGGATAAATGTTCATATGTTTAGGCCAAACAATAACAGCAAATGCGATCCCTAGATAAGTCTATATGGCGAGATTTCAACGAGACTAAACACTACTATTGTTTAATGGTCATTTAGCTTAGATCTTTATTAAGTTATAACATGAAGAGAACCTTATGTCAAAATCTATAGTAGATATTTTGTCCGGTAAACCAAACTAACTTATAGCCACATTTTCTATACTTCAATGACACCATCTTAAGAAAGGATCTCGAAAATCAGTTCCGTTAAAACACATGAAATTCTCCAGTCATAACAGGTCACTAACAGGTGCAAACACTATAAATAAGCCTTCAGCCTAGTGTAACAATAAGAGAGGATTACTTGGCTTGTATTGTATTATTTGCTTTCGACAGTAACTAAAAGGGACTGATTGCGACTAGCTCAGAGCTAATTAAATTTTATAAGCATGGTCTCTAAGTTTCAAACAAAATCTAAGGCCGGGTAACCTTATAATAAGGAAATATACATCAGTTAACCTATAAAAGTTAGTATTTCTTTTACAACAGAGCATACGAGCCTTTCATCCATATTAACTAATCAGAAATCGACAAGAAACATCCCAGATAATTAATCAAAAAATAAATAAATTAAGAGCTCATTGCCAACTAGATACTGAAACATTAAAACACTAAAATTCCAGAAGCGAAACAAGAAGAAAGATACCGACCTTTTGCAGGGCAGTGAACTGAGGTGCGGATCTTAGATGCACTATTGAGCTCCGACCTCGAACCCGCTTCTACAAACAACTAATAAATGTTGAAGCGAGCAAATTAATGGATATGTTATGATTAAAAGAGAACTAAATAGAAGCTAAAAGGTCGCAAAATGATAACACTAGGTTTTAGAAAAATATTTTTAGAGTAGTAAAAGTATAAGCTTCTGAATGGCGGCCGAAGCTTAAGGATTTTTAAGGGAGAGGTGCGGCTGAAGCTTTCAACTTTGGGGGTGAAAGTGGGCGGCTCTGAGCTTAAGGTTAAAGGAGGGGCTGAAGCTTAAGGATTCTTAGGGGGGTCCAAAACATAAGGTTAAAGGAGGGGGTTGAACTTGGTCGAAAATCTTTTCAAAGGCGGGTATTTATAGGCTGATTTCTAGGGTTCTTGATATGGGCGGGATTTCGAAATTGAGTGAAAGCTATTGAATGTTTGAAATTTGAACATTGATGTTGAAGAAAATTAAATGAGGTGCAGAACTTCTTGTTCAAAAATGGTAATGGCAAGTTCTGCCATGGCTGAGCAAGGATGGAATTTTGTGAAGAAGAGGAAAGGGAGGAGAAGAAGCGTCTATTGGTTTAGGAGAGAGAGAACAGGGTTAGCAAATTGGATTTAATTGATGGGATAAATATTGGTCATTGGATTAAAATAATGGATGGCTCAAATTAGGCTTAGAATAAAACAAGATAAAAATAAAGAAAAATACATAGAATTCTCTAGAAGATGTGGGGTCAGAGTGTGAGTGAAGGGTGTGCTAGTTGGCGTGTGTTTTAGACCATTGGGGCCTATGTGGCGCTGACATGAGGCTTATATGGAGCTGACATGGAAAAGAAGTAGAGTAGGTGGGCTGGTGGGTATGGGCCTCCGATTTGGGCTATGGAAAAGGCTAAATCTCTTTCTTCTTCATCTTTTATTTGGGCTTCTTGAATCTTAAATCTTGATATGCTTAGTAATAAATATTTATATTAAATAATTTGCTAGTGTTTAAATAATTACAAATTTTTGTTGTAAAAATCTACTTAGTAGATAACCACTAATAAATATATTACAAATAAGAGTAGAAACAATGCAATACAATGAAAAATATTTGTAAAGGAGAATATTATTAGTTGATTGGCGTTGAATGAAATTATTTGAGAGATAAAATCGTCGCCTGTCATCATAGTAATAGTAGTAGTAGTAATAATAATAATAATAATAATAGTAGTAGTAATAATAATAATAGTAATAGTAGTAGTAGTAATAATAATAATAACATTATCTAATGATGATAACGACAAAATAGAATAATAAAATAACGATACTAATTAGATAAAATAGTAAAATAAATATTCTTACATAATAAAGAATATTAGCAGCTCAAAGAAATAATTTGGAAGAAAGGAGAGATAAAATTGGATGTCAACAACGCCTAAAACAAGCTACAAACAAGCTACGATGTTTATACCCGCTCAATTCGTTCTTATCAATAAGGTACTTGGTCGCAAATTCTTGTTCATTTTCGTCCACCAAAACAACAGTATCATCATGCTTTGGCAAATAAGAATCGTAAAATTTTCTTGGGAAACTCTGTTGTACCGAAATATCAAAAGAAAGACTATATCACCAAGAAAATTTTCAATTTGTTCTAATTCTATCAAGATAAAAATTTTACTTACCAACCAAAGTCCACGACTGACATGTGAATGGAGCATATACTTGACAAAACTAGGAAATTGAGAGGGCAAATTTGCTGGAACTTCTTTTGCCCGCAGTATGGCAGATGAGTTTGCATCAACAGTGCTAGTTTTGTAAGTCTTCTTTTAAGGACTTTATTAATGAATCTGAAGTTGAGAGCTTGTAACTCAATAGACCAAATGAGACAACGACCAAAATGAGCAACAAGTGAACTCAACCAGCAGGAACCATCGATCGGAGAACTTCCATGCCGACCTCGACGGACTCGAGCTCAACCTTGAGGCTGTTGTTTTTTGTGCGTAAAGGGGTCAGTTTTTGGCTGAAATTTAGGGCTTTTGGGGGCTGTTTTCCAGCTGGGTTTGGGAGGTGCTTTTCAGCTCGTGCTTGGAGCTATTTTGGGTAATTTCAGGCCAATTTTAGGACCGTTTGGTACTGTTTTTCCCTGCTATTTTTGAGTATTTTTTGAAATGGTTTTTGGCTCGTTTTATAGGCTAGTTTGGGGGCTGTTTTTGTGAGCTTTAAGGAGCTGATTTTGGATGAAGGAGAAGGACTAATTTGGGGTGGTTTAAGACTATTTTGACAGTGAATTTATGGGTATTTACTGACATGAGTTTGGGTGGTTTAAGATGAAATTTGTGGCTGCTTTTTGAGGAGGAAAAAGAAGAGCAGCTCCATTTTTGCCTTAGCTCTAAGGTGATTTTTGTTCCCTTTTTGTGTGGTGTCCGTTTTTTGTCTCCTCCAGTTGAGAGAAAAGAGATTGAAAAATCAGAAGGGGGGTGCGTCTAGCTTAGAGGTGTACGGAAATTGGTTTAGGGTTTGGATGTAATGTGTATTTCATATGAGAGCGAGAAATGAATCTCAGCCTTTGGATTGAAAGCATTTTAACGGCTGCGATTTCATCTTTATTTCTAAAAGAGCTGATGGGTCAATCTATTTGGGCTCAACAACAATACAACAATAATAACGACCCAGTATAATCCCACAAATGGGGTCTGGGGAGGGTAATATGTACGCAGATCTTACCCCTACCCCGAAGGGTAGAGAGGCTGTTTCCAGGAGACCCTCGGCTCAAAAAAAGCAATAGGAGCCGATATATTAGTACCATAAAAATGCATANNNCCTTTTAGTAACGGTGGCACTTTCTTGTCACACAAGACTCCCGACGCTAACCTCCACTTCATCCACCCCACCCCTATACGGTGTGTGACATCCTCGTCAATCTCCCCGATCCCCTGAATAACCGATCCAAGGTACTTGAAACTACCCCTCTTGGGAATGACTTGAGAGTCAAGCCTCACTTCAACTCCCGTTTCCGTCGGCTCAACTCCAAATTTGCACTCGAGGTATTCCGTCTTCGTCCTGCTCAACTTGAAACCTTTAGACTCAAGAGCATGTCTCCAAATCTCTAGCTTCTCGTTGACGCCGCCTCGTGTCTCCAAATCTCTAGACTCAAGAGCATGTCCAATTTGGCCCATGACTTGGACATTTGAACAAAGCAAGATTTTAGAAAAAATAGTCCAAATTAAATCTTCTTTCTTTCCATTTTTTAATTTTGATTTCTTTTATTGATTAATAGATGAAAATAAAAATACTACTCCTATAATTAAAACAACAATTATCTACTTCTAATTTAAAAATTATTTAAAATAATTCAGAATCACTAACATACTAAAGTTAGAAGAAAAAAAACATATTTTTTGTGAGTTTTCTTTCCTTTTGCAAATTGGGACGAAATTTAATACTCTAAAAATGTGAATATTTTTGTGTGATTTTTAATTTTCTCAAATAAAACCTATAAAAAGGTGAAATAAAAGCTAAAATATAGAGATTAAACTTAAAATTATTTGAATAATAAAAAGTGAGTAAAAATCCAAATATGATCAAAAATTAGTTGCTCACAGCTGCCCATCTTTGCTTGGAAACATGAAGAGTTTTCAAGTAAAGACAAAGTGAGTCGTGTGACTAATTTTGACCAAATCGTTATTTAAAAGAGGAAGAAAAGAAAAGAAAAAGGTGCAACCGAGTCCTGGTTTTGGACAACCTACATATCCCGAGTTATAAGGGAACCAGGTCGCGTGTAGTTCAAGAAGAATGATGGAGTGATAAGTTCGAGAGTCGAGCGAGGTTCCGTCGAGGCTCAGGTCCGTGGTCCTGTTATTACATCAAAATCAAAATTGAAAAGACTAACTAAGCTTATCAGCTACGAGTTACAAGATTCCTATCTATGAGTCTTCTGAAACTTAATGTTGAGTCTTGGTTGGTTCTTCATACGGACTCTGATCTAAATCTTGATACTTGTTAGTTGCGGGTACCGGTTCCTTCCTTTTTCAACTTCTCGGATCTAAGGCGGGACATACACAGCTTGTGACTTCAATCACGTCTTGAGCAGTCCCCATCTTTTCTACATTTCTACACTTTGAGTTCACTTCTTTTTCTTTTTCTTTTTCTTTTTCTTCTTTTTTCTTTTATTCTGGATTGAGACTCCTTCTTTTGGTCGTCTCAAACCCTGTTCCTTGAGGTAAAACCTGCTCAGACACCAAAACAAATAAACGAACAAATTTTTTTTGCCCAGTTTTCACTTGGAAAATTTCGCGAGTTATTTTAACAAAATTCTAAACTACTTCTTTATTGAAAGCAATAAAAGTCAGGATTGTGTATCCTTAGGAAAAAGAGATTATGGAGTGGAGACCCTATATCTAAAATGAGATCAACTAGGGATTGGAGACCCTATTGTTGGAAAATCATCAACTAGGGAATGGTGACCCTATATTGGCATCAGGTTATGCTGGCATCAACTAGGGAGTGGAGACCCTATGTTGGCATCAACTAGGGAGTGGTGACCCTATGTTGGCATCAGGTTATGCTAGCATCAACTAGGGAGTGGATACTCTGTGTTGGCATCAACTAGGGAGTGTTGACCCCATGTTGGAAAGGAGACTAGGGAATTGCGTACTTTATGCTAAAATGAACCAAGAAGGATTTATTTTTTGGTATTTGAGAAAATCATTCTTTTAAACAAATTGCTCCAACTCTTTCATCAGACTAGGTTTTCTTATCTTAGGAGAAAGATTCATCAGACTAAGACTTCGCATCCTAGGAGAAAATTCATCAGACTAAGATTTTTATCCTAGGAGAAAGTTCATCAAACTATATTTTCTATCTTAGGAGAAAGATCTCGACTAGGTTCTTTTTCTTTTTCTCCTTTTTTTTGGTATCTTAGGAGAAAGATTCATCAGACTGAGATTTATATCCTATGAGAAAGTTCATCAGACTAGGTTTTCTATCTTAGGAAAAAGATTCATCAGACTAAGATTTCGATCCTAGGAGAAAATTCATCATACTAGGTCCCTTTTTGTTATCTTAGGAGAAAGATTCATCATACTAAGATTTATATCCTAGGAGAAAAAATTCATCAGACTAGGTATATTTTTCTTGTTATCTTAGGAGAAAGATTCATCAGACTAAGATTTCTATCCTAGGAGAAAGTTCGTCAGACTAAGTCTTCTATCTTAGGAGAAAGATTCATCAGACTAAGATTTTGATCCTAGGAGAAAATTCATTAGACTAGGTCATTTTTTTTGTTATCTTAGGAGAAATATTCATCAGACTAAGATTTTGACCCTCGGAGAAAATTCATTAGACTAGGTCCTTTTTTTGTTATCTTAGGAGAAATATTCATCAGACTAAGATTTGATCTTAGGAGAAAGTTCATCATACTAGGTCCCTTTTTTGTTATCTTAGGAGAAAGATTCATCAGACTAAGGTTTCTATCCTAGGAGAAAGATTCATCATACTAGGTTTTCCTATCTTAGGAGAAAAATTCATTAGACTAAGATTTTTATTGGGAGTAAAATCTATTAGACTAGGACTTTTTATCGTAGGAGACAAAATGAGACGAGCAAATGGCAAAATTTATGCACATGAGCAAGATAGAAAAAAAAAGCAAAGATTTGAGAAACTTCCCTTTGTCGGCTCTTTTCTTCTTTTCATTTTCATTTTTTTCACGTTCCTTGCACTGCTTTGTTCCTATTTCAAACAAAGAAAATTTTGTCAGTTTTAAAAGTGGTGGCCGGTTTGTGGCCTTGAGTCTTGGGCAGCTTGGCTTTGTGCTCAATCAGCTTGAGTCGGTTTCAAGAGACTTTTGCTCTGCATCAACCCTAATTGTTTCACACTCAGTACCATTTGTATTTGTGGCTCAATTAGCCTTATCCCAACTGGAGATCTTTTCTTAGGTGATATTTTCTGATATCTTGAATGACTTCTTGCTTTCTGAGCAATTTGTCTGTCAGAGAGAATCACCAATTATATGTGCTTGCGCCAAGTAGGCTGACAAGAGTCTGTTGGGGGAGCCTTTGCATGAATCCTCAAGGTATGTTGATAGTAACAACTGAGTGTGCTGGCCAAATTTACTTTGTGCAACTGAAAAGCTGGTAGCAGATTTTGAAATCTTTTCTTGCTTGTTTTGACAAGGACTGACTCTAAATGAAGGGCACAATAATGAAAATAAACAATATTAAAAGGAAATGCCCTTGCCGTGAAGGACAGAAGAACAGTTTTTTTTTCAATAACTAGCCTTAATGATCATGACATGCAGGACTCAATGACCAATCTGTCAAACTAATCTAATCTTTCCTTTTACCATTCTTATGACCTTTGAAGTCGGGCTTGTTTATGTTAATTTTTTGCATCAGCTTCACGACTCACTTTCGACTAGTGGTGCTTCGAGGGGTTTTTACCAACAAGTCTCTCTCATTTATTTATCTCTACTTATTGTCGCATTGCAGTGTCCGTGAGAGTTTTCACTAGTAAGACTCTCTCATTTTTTTTTCTTTCCCTTTTTTTTGTGAACTTTTGTGAGCAAATTGACAGTGTTTGTTGCGTGAGAACCGTTTCTCATTGCATGCTTCTCTTGGCATTCTTGAAGGCATATCGAGAGGTCTTTATTTGGAAGGTTTTTGGATAGAGTTGGAAAGAAAGGACTGCATGAAGGCTCAAAGTAGACTCAAACTAAGGGGTTGTAGACTTACAAATCTTGGAATCGACCCCTTCAAAAGTGAAATAAAATCTTTGCCCCAGTTTCAGCTATTGGGTATTTTGGGAATTTTTTTTCTTTCTTTCTTTTGAATTCTTATTTGGTTGGACCGAACCGTGAAGCTGTCTATGTATCCTTTTTTAAAAGAATTAGGTCAAACCTAGTTCAAACATCTGACCTAACTATTTTTTTCATCTTTCTTTCTTTTTCTTTGTCTTTTTTTTTCTTTTGTCTCTTTTTTTGTTGGTTTCAAAACAAGTTGCACCAACTTCTATTTTCTGGGGGCATGGATCTTTGACGGTTCTTTTCTTCTTCATGTTTTTTCACGTGAACTTTCTGAGAATTACCCCAGTTTGTACTCTTTTCTTTTTCTTTTTTTTTTTGTTTTTTTTTGTTTTTTTTTTGACTCTTGACTCTAAACTTGATTCCAAAAGAGGGTGGTCAAAGAAAATAGCATAGGCTCAAAAGGGGTAGTGAAGGATATAAAGTGTTTGGATAGCAGAAAAAGGGCCTCTTAGCCTCGAGAATGCCAATCATGTTATCTTTTCGCGATCACAGCATTGACGAACATTTCTGTCTTCTTGTTGTGTCGTGGTCGAAAGACACTTTCCATCCATTAATGTCGAACTTTCAACCAAGCTTCAATTGATTAAACATCCCCAAGCCTGATCCTCACAATGATTTGAAGGTGAATTTTACTCGACCTTAATTCCTAAGTATTTCAACTCTTTATTCATCCTCAAAAACATCTTGTTCTAAGTTATCCAATTCAATCTTAAATCAA